CTTTTGCAGGTCCTAGGCATTTCCAAAAGGATTTTATACTTTAATGCAAACTTACAGAAAAGTACAATACTATTATTTTGAAGGGAATAATAAATTAATAGGTAACCAGAAATGCTTTTTTTTTTTTTTTTTTGTCTTTTTTGGACCTGGGGGTCGAACCCAGGGGCTTTGCGAATGCAAGGCAGATGCTTTGCCACTGAGCTACATCCCAGCCCCCAGGAATGCTTTATATCTGGTAATTTCAAAAAAGTACCTAATAGATTTTACCTCTAGTTTCTTTTAAAGAAAAGTTTTCTTAGTGCTTTTATAATATGAGTGGACAAACATCTTTTTTTAAAGTATAGCTTTGAAAGAATCAAAATTCAACTCCACGGAATATTTAATAACTTAAGGAGTTGTGCATGATGGTGTGTGCCTRTGTTCCCAACTACTTGGGAGGCTGAAGCAGGAKGAACCCAGGAGTKTGAGGACAGCCTGGTGATGCATGAGTGTAATCCCAGTGACTGGGGAGGTTAAGGCAGGAGCATCACAAATTCAAAGCCAGCCTCAGCAACTTAACAAGACTCTCAGCAACTTAGTGAGAACTTGTCTCAAAAAAATAAAAATAAAAGTAAAGAAAAGAGGACTGGGGATGTAGCTCAGTGGTAAAGCAACCCTCAGTTCAATCCCCAGTATGAAAACAAACAAAAAACAAACCAAAAAACAACCCAGAACCATAATGTTTCTAAGACCTCATGTGGACCTAACAGTTCACTTAATTAGTGATCAGTTTAATATCCAAGATTCTTCTTTTACAGGTGATTGATTTCACTATCATAGACTTGACATCAGAGACTGATGAAATTCCAGATATTATAGCTTTGGAAGAGGAGGATGGAGCAAATCATTCACACGCTAATGGTCCTGAACTCTCAGGGAATAATTAACCAAAAAATAAAAATTCCTTTTGGCTGGATATGCAATTTGTATCACAGTAAAATAGATCTTTGCTCGTGTGTTTATTCCTGTGGTTTTTGAAGGGTGTTAATGTAGTTTTTGGTTGCTTGATCTTAATTGCAAGAAAACTTTGACCTAAACTTTTGAGATCTTGTTATGTGTCATATATCATTTTATATAACTCTTCAAAGTTTAATTTCTGAAATTCCTATAATAAAAATTGAGCTGTGTAAGCTTGGATGTCTTCTTTTCTTTCGTTCTTTTTTCTTTTGGTGTTGGTAATTGAACCCTGGGGCCCTCTACCACTGAGCTACTTTACCAGCCTTTAAATTTTTTTTTTTTTTAATTTTGAGATAGTGTCTCACTGAATTGCAGAGACTGGTCTCAAACTTGTGTTTCTGTCTCCACCTCCCGAGTTGCTGGGATTGTAGGTATGCACCATTGAACACAATTACCCAGTTTTTGATTTTTTTTTTTTTTTTTTTACTGGACACTTGTTTTTTGGATCTTTCAGGATTCATTTCTGCTTCTTTTGATATCTCTATGAGTCTGCTGGTCAAGGGTTTTTGCTTTCCCTTAACTAAGGRATGGGCATGTGAATAAAAGCAGGTCAACTGGGAACAAGTAAAGCATGATGGATAAAGGCTCAGACTCCAGTTTCTAAACTTACTCTGCCACTTATTGTGTGACCTGAGCAAGTTACTTCAGTTTTCTGTGCCTCAATTTTCTCATCTATAAGGTGAGATTTCGTAGTTAACATTTTTTAAAAGTGTGGAGCAATCCCTGGCACAATACAGCAATAAATAGATATTAGTTAATTAAGTAAATGGTAGAAGCATTGGTCAACCCAGAAGCTATGAACATCCCTAGTGCCTTTATAGTCAAAAAATATCATTTCTCACTAAAAGAAATCAGGTTTTCTTGGAGAAATGACTAATTCCAGATCTGAGGCAAGAAATGTACAAAATGAGTCTAAACTTCTTGAATACCAAGTTGAAGAGGTTTCARTTGGCCAAATATAAGAAAATTTGAATCTCTACATGGATAATAAATATAATAGATTGAACTCCTTAAGTAAGTTTAAATTTGTGAGTTCATAATTATGTGTGTGCGAGTGCATATGTACATGTAAGCTTTGGGAAAAATAGTAGTGTTCAGTGGGTAGGCTTAAGAGCTCACTTGAGTTATAAATTTTGGGTGAGAACAGACAAAATAAGTGTATATCTGCTGAAGTGCAGGTGTAGAGTAAATAGAGGGCTGGATTTAATAGGGGTTTGGGTTTTGCTAAATAAATCTGGCAGAGAAAGATGCCAGAGAGCTGATGATGTCTTCAAGTTAATGATTATAATGTTATCAACAGAGTAAGAGACAATGTAGAGACAAAAGGATTAGAAATTCTAGTGATCCGAGGACTGTTGGAATAAGATTTGGAGGGATTGAGCTAGAAAGTTAGAAGATGGAGGTTGAAATTGAAGTTATGGAGGTGTTGCAGTAGTTGATAGTGGCAGATTTTATAGTTATATTCCAATAAAGTGGGTGGAATGTGTAAGATCAGGCAAGGCGGGCAGCGACCAAAGGAGGCAGATTTAAAAAGGCCGCCGAAGGAGGCTTTATTTGAGACTCACTCCCCAGTAGAGCTCCATCAGACTGACAGAATGGACAGGAGAAGGTTCTGAGGAGAAACCCAGTGGGAGCTTGACCGGACTGGGCTTTAATGGGGCTTACAGAAGGAAGGGAAGGGCTTGGGACAGGAAAAGGTGTTTTTAGGGTCCCTTGTCTCGCTGGAGTTGGTCAGGGGAGCTGGTTGAACTCCAGGATTGGCCAGGGAGTTCTGCTGATTGACARGCATTAGTCAGGAGATGTCGCTGATTTGACAGCCTTTTCTGTTGGCGCATGATTGATGTTTCTTTCCCTATGGGCTGCTTTGTTCTAAGTCATCGCCACCGACCTGATAGAATGGAAGACAAAGTTATTTGAAAGTAGACTAATTAATTGAGAGGCTAGGGTATTGAAAAGGTCACCTACATGGATACTGATATCACCAAAACCTCTCACTAACAATGCTGGCGAGACAGGGAATTAAGTTGTAAATCTCAGGCTGAGGTCCAGTGATTCTAAGTTCATATAGATGACCTCTATAAGGAAGAGAATAAACTTTGGAGGAGCTGATTTTAGTGAGGCAGGAGGCAATAATTGCCAGAGATGGCAACTTGAAATAAGGAGGATAAGCCATCCCAGCTCCAGGCCTGTTTTATAGGGGGTTTAACCAAAGAGAACAGTCAAAAATTGAGAATGTTGCAGGGGATACAGTATGCTTAGGAGAGCGTCAGATTTCAATTACAGAAAGAAGATGAAGGGAAGATTTAGCATTTGATGGTAAAGAAGATTTTGCTAATGATAGAACTGAGGCTTAGAAGTTAGGTGACTTGTTCAGGGTCAAACGCTTGGTGCTTTTCTCACTACATCGAGCCGCAGTACTCCGTCTGCGCCTTTTTGTCTGACTATTTAATAATCACACAAAAGTAGTAGGAATCGCAAACATCAAGGACTGGAAAGGCGCGGGCACGGAGACGGTCCCTACCCGCGACGCATTGTGGGCCTTGTAGTTTCCCGCTGGGAGTGAACGGAAAGGCCAGGAATAGGGCGCGTTGCATGGCGGGAGATACAGTTCTCCAAGGAAGTCCCTCCTCCCCCGGAAGTTAGGTGGAGTMGGCGCACTCCGCTCTTCCTGAAGCGCGGGAGTCTTAGTTTGTGGTGTCTTCACTTAGGCAGTGGTGGCCGCACTGTCTTTCGACGCTCGTTTTTTCAGAGTCCTTTCGGCCATTTGAGACGAAATGGCTCCAGGCTAGAAAGCAGCGGGCGGTGGCAATGGAGGGGACCTCACCACATCAGGCTGAGGGTAGGGAGGGGTATTGAGGGCCCTCACAGTCGCTTGAGCCGGCCTTTTCTTCCTCTGAAGTCACTGTAACTACCGTGAGGATGAGCTCTGCCTGGAGCGCTTCTTTTGAGAGGCAGCATCTCTGGATGTATCTGCTGGCGCTTGGATTCGAACCGGGCCCGGCTACCATCGCCTGCGGAAAGATCGAGTCGCACACACACCTCGGAGTGTAAGGAGGCGGGAACCCAAGGAGGGGCTGAGGGAGCCTGAGCCGGGAGACTTATGGGTGGYCCGCCTTTCCCTAATCCCCCGGGTCGGTGAATCCGAGGCGGTTGAGCGGTTACTATGTGCCAGGCACTGGCTACCAAGCCCCCGCTTCCGATTTCTGCAGGCTGGTGGCAGAGACTGACAGTGTCAGTTATCTACCAGTGGCTTTGTAGGAAGGTAGTCTGAAGTTGGGGTAACCCTCTCTGGAGGGTGGAGGTGGRTGGTCTGTGAAATGGTGGGAGGAGGGGCGAATTGGTAGAGGAAAGGTGTGGGAAGTGGGCATGCAAAGGTCTCTAGTACTCAAGGGAGCCGTTGACGGTAGTTAACTTTGTAACTTTTGCTTTTTGAATTAGGAAGCTAAGGCATGCCACAGTTGGCAAAAAACAAACAAACGCACAACAACAACAAAAACCCCACACAGTATAAATGGGCATTAAAATGAACAATRTAATTCCCTTCCTTTACTTTTGCCACTTCTGTTACGGTTATGACCATGACAGTAAATACTTTGTTTCTATTTCCTTGTCTTAGTAATTTTAGACAGTATCTGTTATCTTCCCCGCTGAAGGCCAAGAATTTGGGACACACTGGCCATCTCTTGCCCTCCACAATCTATTTGATAATTGTAAATTATTTCAATTCATCTATTTGCCATGTTTTAATAGTGTGCTTAGATTTGATTCATCAATCTCAGAAATCTATGATTCTTAACTATGTAATTTCACAATGAATGTAGCTGTTATTTATAAAATAATTGGTTCATTTATCTTTCCATYTTCCTTTTCTGCCTTCCCCTTCTTGACTTTTTTTTTTCCAGTTGTATTTTGACTTTTGCTGTCAAAGTTTAGAGCTGTAATTAAGTTTTGTTTGGTTACTGTTTAGAAGTTGATATTATCATAAATGAAGGGCTTTGAATAGAAATCTATTTTAAAAACTGTTAATAGGCAGTATTTATCAGGTTATGATAATGTCTTTATTAATAAATACTTCATTTATTTCATATGATTTGATGCCCTATAACACAGTCTCATTTTTTTCTGAACTGGCAGAGGCACTTAAAGCTTCTTCAGGGGTTCCATCACTGAGAATGGCTTTTGTTATCCTTCTTTCCAGTGTTTTGGCCATCTTAATTTTCTCTTTGGTTTATCCATCAATGCAATTGCATTCTGCCTTTGAAAAATTTAAAAAATATGTCAGGTTCTGGTCCAGTGATGGCAGTTTTTATTTTTCCCTCTCAACACAGATATTTTTTTCCCCTACATTATTAGAGTTGTTTTTGTCTGTTATTGGAGGGGATCTGTCATTGTGTAACAGATGTCTCCTGTAAAATAGTTTAAACATGAATGTAGCATCACATTTMCTTTAAAAATGTTTTAATTTTTTTATTTGCTTATATGGCAAAATTCTTTTTGGTTTGCAATTCTGTAAGATTCTAGTTGGGTGAGCATATAGTTGCTTAACCATTTTCCTTATAAAGTTAAACATGCTATTAATATATGACCCAGCAGTTC